TTCAGCCCCAGACCGGTCCCCCTTCATGTCGGCTTACGGCTCCCAGCCACCACTGTTCCCGTCCCAGGAGGGACAGGTGGAGGTTCCATCGGTGCAGTGCCATCTGAAGCGAGCCCACCACGTGTGGAGGGAGACCAGGGCCGCGTTGTCCCGCACGGCGTCCCGTAACCGGCGGATTGCGGACCGTCGTCGCCGCCCGGGACCGTCCTATGAGGTTGGACAAGAGGTGTGGCTGGCTACGAGGGACCTGCGCCTGGCCGGCGGGTCGTCCAAGTTGGGGCCACGCTTCACCGGTCCTTTCGTGGTGGAGTCCGTCATCAGCCCCGTCGCTGTGAAGCTCCGGTTGCCGGCCACCATGAAAGTTCACCCCGTGTTCCACGTCTCCCTGCTCAAGCCGGTTGCGACCAGTCCCTTGGCTCCTTCTCCCACTCCGCCTCCTCCTCCACGGATCGTTGATGGTGACCCGGTGTACACGGTGCGAGCGATCCTGGACTCTCGGCGCAGGGGTAAAGGTTTCCAGTACCTGGTCGACTGGGAAGGCTATGGGCCGGAGGATCGGCAATGGGTCCCCCGCTCCTGGATCCTGGATCCGTCCCTTCTGAGCGACTTCCACGCTTCTCACCCTTCCAAGCCGGGTGGGCCGCCAGGGGGCGTCCGTTGAGGGGGGGGTACTGTCATGTCCCGTTTTCGACAGCAGGTGGCAGACGGTGTTTTCGGCCGGATGCACACCTGCTACCCATTTGTAATCAGGCACTGGCTTTATTAGGGCCGGCTTTCGTACTTTCACTTGCCGGAGAATTGTTTGCCGTGCCACTGCTTTGCCCATTGTGTCGGTAGTACCTTTTCGCATTTCGCCTTTGTGCGCGAGTTAGTATTAGGAGTTTGTATTTCTCGGTGTGTATTTTTATTGCGACTAGATTGTTTTTCTCCTTGCCTTCGTGCGAGCGTTTTTTGTTATTCGGTTCTTTCGTGCTTTTCCTGGTACTCGTTTTTGCCAGCGTTTTCTGTTGTCTCGTTTTTTGCGGTGCGGTTTTTGTTAAATAAATCTTATTTTCATACGGAGCTCTTGTTGTTGTCTGCTGTTTCGGGAATCCTTTAGATCACCTTGGTTGCGAGTGAAGCGGGTTCCCTTCCGCTTTGCTCGCAACGTGACACATGGCTACTGAACAACCAGAGTACAGTCTGTAGTAAGGGTACTCCAGCTCCAGATGACAGAATCAGTGGTACAGAAAATGGAAATGCAAAATCATAGAACCTGACAGATTTATGTGTGTGTATATCTTGAGTGGGGAAAAAAAAAACAATTATCCCAAATGACTAACAAAGCAGATTTGATTAAAAGCAAATAGGACACTGGAAATACCAACCGCAATTCAACCAGGAATTTTATTTGGCGGTTCATCCCCTTGTTAGAGATCACTAAGTAGTGCGAAAAGTGCTAAAACACTGAACAGTTTGACACTTCTGAGAAGGTCAAGTTTACCTGTCAAGATTATAATGCATTTTAGAATGTAACCAGAGAGCCAAAAACTCCAACTTTTTTTTTTTTGTGAGATGTTTATGCTAATGTTCTGAGGCATTCGCATTGGTACACAATGGCACAGGTAAAGAAAAATAAAAAATCATTGTTGGTGGGAAACCAAAGTTGGCGCTGCAGGTTCTTGGCAAAGCAAGAGCAATTGTTTCTTTTCCTGCTCAAGCTCCTCCCACCTCTTCTGCTGCTCAGTCTTTTCTCTCTCCAGCTCTTCTCTTTGCCTCATTAAGTCTTGAGCTTCTTCCTGCTGTGCTCTCCTGAGAGACTCAATTTGCTTCTTCTCTACGGCGGCCTCTCTGGCATTGACTGCCCGCAGACTCTCGACGAGCTCCCTCTGATGGTCCAGAGCCTTGGCCTCCTCCCTCTGCGTCCTCCTCAAAGCTTCGATCAACTCCCGCTCTCTTCTGAAAACGCGCCTCTCTGCTGCAGTATCCTTTGAAACTTGGACCATATCTGAAAGATGATAATTTTCTTGGTAAAGGAGCACACAGGGATGGATTTATTGTTCCCACAGGGCAGAGCTCTGTCAGAAATCTGTTTTGCTTCCAGAATTTTATTTGATATTATAAAATATATTTGCAAACAATGTTGTCAGTGGGCCCCCTCTTTGTCAGTCTAGCCTCCCTTGAGTCCCAGGAGGAAAAAAAAAAATAATGGAACCATCTCTGCCTGAGGCCTTCAGCATTTTGACACATTAGGTTTTGGAGTAGGCTCATTTGAGCAGTGTTGCAAAATCGCCGCCGGGCAAAAAGTATTTCCTTCCCTGACTGCAGTTCAGCGCCAGTTTGAGAAGCTTGGCTGTCACAATGGTGCAGTCAGAATCTGAAAACCTTTACCGTCATTGTACTGCAAAGCGCAACAAAATTGAATAGCAGGTCAACTGTGGGTAAATAAATCACAAAATACACAATTAATACTGTACTAATATAAAAAAAGATTAGTGCAGGGGTGCCCAACCAGTGAATTGTGATCGACCATTAGCCCGTGTACTGGCCCCAAGTCGATTGCGTGGGGCATAGGGGGAGGCGGTGGGGAAAGATTCGTGCGTGTTATTAATATATATTTTTGTGTTAGTGTACACTGCACCCTCAGCATCCTATCAGTTTCACAAAAAGTATTTAAAAAATAAAATAAAAAAGCAGGTCACCTTTAACTTACGGTGGCGCGTGACCTGCATTACCAGAAGTTTTTAGCTGCTCAGCAGTCTGCAATTGCAGCTTGCGATCAGAGCCGTTGCCATATATATATATATATTTTTTTTTTTTTTAATTCTCCTTCAAAGTTTGTTTCAGCTCCAATTCAGCGAAATGTCAAATCGTCATGTGTGATAAATAACGTTGAGATTTTGCAATAATTTTGTTACCCTGTTTACACTCACTTGAACAATAATTGAGCAAAAAACAAACATACAGTTGACTGATTTCAAAACTAATAATCCATCGATTTGTTGAATACAAGTAATTATACGATGTGACGATTAAACATTTATTCGGTTACATTCTTGTAACGGCCCTCCGAGGGAAGACTTAACTCCAAAGTGGCCCACAACAAAAATGAGTTTGTTATGTAGTGCCCATAGTGATCATGAAAGCTTACCTGGAATTTTCCCCTTCATTGCCTCGACTGGACATGTCTCCTGCTGAACATTGGAACTGTGTGATGGTGAGTTTGTTTTCGTTAGCTTCAGCGCCTTGCCCGCTTGCCGATACGCCTGCGGGTGGCTCTTTGACATGTGTCGATGCATGTTGCTGGTCTTGCCGTCAGGACACCTGATCCTCTTCTTGCAAATTAAACACTGAGCAACATCCAAACTGCCCAAAGGCTCAAAAAGTTTCCAGATCGAACTACGGCGGTGGCATTTACTCCTGAAACTGAGGGGATTTTCGACCATGATTTTTTCTTCTTTACACTTTTTTTCTGCCACTCCAGCTCCCGCAGATTCTCCTTGGACAGCTTCGAGGATACCGTTCAACTCAGAATGAACGGCAGCTTCATTCACAGCTTGACCTGATCGTGTATTCACCTGTGGGTGAGTCTTTGCCATGTGTCGGTACAGGTTGCTGGTCTTGCCCTCAGAGCACATTATCTTCTTCTTGCAAATCAAACATTGAGCAGCATTCAAACTGCCCAAAGGCTCAAAACGTTTCCAGATCAGGCTGCGACGGTGATATTTACCGCTGGAAGGGCGTTCCTCTCCAACCACTACTACCTCTTCTGGCCTTTCTTTGACAGGCTCTTCTCCTTGAGCAGCTACAAGGAGGGTATCCATTGCAGAGTCAATGTCATCATCATCCACGGTGGCGACGTCACCATTTCCGTCCTCCAGTTCCACCTCCACTTGAGAACAATTAAGAAGATATTGTGAATTATTATTCCATGAATGCAATAGCCATAAGAAGACACAGTGGGGACACAGAGCATATTCTTCCACAAAACATTTTTTACTAGCTTTCCACTTTCAATAGATGGCGTTCTGATGTTCCACAAATGCAATATTATGTGTCACTCATTGAACAAAGTTTCCCCGAGTGATTAAAACGGCTTGCTCTTTGTAGAGATACGCTTTTCATTGACAACAATGACTACACATCTGCAAATATACAGTAACCCATTTTTAGTACACTGTTCACTTAAGAACACAGTGTTTACACTGCATTAGTTCAAGACATCGACAAATGTTTAAACAAGTGTTCATTCATACTACAAGAGTACAACTACAAAACTCACGCACCTGAAGTAGATTTGGTGGAGCTGTGGACATGCCATTGATGGGTACATTCAACATAGTGAAGCCATATTTCATGTAGAATAATACTAGTCTAAATCAAGACAAGTTTCCAAGTAGAAACACTGGCTGCGATGTTTTATTTTAATTGTCTCTTTTTTTTTCAATCTATCTTTTTAAAGCTTTCATAGTTCATAATATTCGGGAATCACCGTCGCTCAGCCAGTGACTGTGAACCAGTGAGGACTGATTCGTGATGATGAACGATTCGGAAAATGAATCTTTTGAACGAATCATTTCAATGAATCCATTCTAAGGATTCTGTGCTGTCAAAACAACTTCCGTTCCTTTCTTTAGCGACCGGTACCTTGTGCTTCGCCAATTTCTAGAGGCTGTCCATGGTTGGAGGAAATTGAGGTTCCCCGGCTTTCTCTTTTGGCGGCCATGGCCGCCTCTGTTGGATGTTGTGCCCGCAGATGTCTCCACATTCCCGTGGTGCTGCCCTGTTCGTGTTTGTTCAGTAAGTTTTTACAGAGGAGGCACTCAACCGATTCGGGACAGACGTCATTGAAATAATCCCAAACAACACTTCTTTTACGCGTCATGTTTGTCGTACAACCTCAAATTTGTTCTACTTTAACTGTTCAAACTCTTCGTTTAATGGCGTCTCTTTATCGTCGAGTAGGTTAGGCCGCGACGGACACCGTCGACTTCTTCTGTTTACTCTATGTGCTGACAAATAACACGAAAAGGTCTACACTGCTTCCTAGTGGGGATGTAAAGAACCGACCGGCCAATCCCCGTTCCAGATTAGCCAGGCTGCAAAGGAATGCCGCGTGGGTAATGTTCATCACACGATAGGGACGTGAATGTTGGTTTAAACATCTTGGGAGTCTCTTCAATGAAAATAAATGCATACGATTCCGGGGAAATGCTCTTTCTGAGGTCCCGGTCGGTTGATGCAGAATCCTCATAGTAACAATCAAATGCGGTAGTAAAACAAACCAAACTCCAGATGACAAACTGTTTCAACTCATTTACTTAAAATAAAAGTATAGAAATGGAATGTTCAGAAGCCGTTGGTGCGATTTTCTGCAGTTCCCCACTAGGGGTCATCACAGTACACCGGCAAAACATAAATAAAAACTTACTTGTTCGCCGTTTTGATTACCTGCCACGTTGAAACAGCTTTTCTTCCGAAAAATAATTTTATCTTATTAGCAGGAATAAATGAAAACACTGAAATGAATACAACTGTATTTATTAAAGGTAATGTCTGTCAGATGAACAGTTCCCCGATTTAAACACAACACACTGTGCTCAACGAGGCTTGGCCTGAATTCAACAAACAAAAAAATAAATATTTCGGCTTCAACAGAAATTCACAGATTGACTGACAAAGGGGAACAGACCAAACACAAGAAATTATTTTCCACACCAAAACATAAATAAACAGTCTTCCTTATATTGACAAACGTTAAACTGATTTTGCAGTGTGTAGGCTAGTCGAGGAAGCACACCATGTGATAAATAATTTTACAGTATCCGTGCAAAAAAGATGATGATTGAACTAAGTCAGATGTTTGTAATGTTTTTTTTTCAATTTACTGAAAGGACTTTGAGCATCACTCTGCCGGGAAATATGACATATTTCATGTAAACTGAATTTTATAGTACAGTAATGCACTGTTGGTACAGTTCAGACAAAATTTGTGTCTTTGCAGAGCCCAAGTGGGTAAAAAATGGGGAATACTAATAACATAAATGATCCTGAATGTTACCAGTGACTACTGTACGACAACTATGACATCATCCTAGTCAGACCGCATCTAAGGGTTCAAATATTACAATAAAGGCAGTATTTGAGGCATCACGTAATATGTTTTTGCAACCAATTAAAAGTCTTATAAAAAGGACAACAAATGTAAACAACTGAGTTTCACCCCATTTGGTTTTCAAATAGGTCAACTAAAACAAGATTAAAATGTTGCTCTACGGCAGATTTGATAAACTTTGTTTCATCTGGTGCAAGATTAAGATGGAAGGGAGAAAATATATGAACTGTGCACGCTTTGTATGTTTCACACATTCAAAGCGGCTTGGGCCCTTCTTTTGAGTAAACATCAATGTGTAACAGATAGGAAAAAAAACCAAACTTGTCAAATGTGCTGTTTCATACAACCACATATTTGCTTGTTATTTTTAGCCACAATTTGATGGAATTAGGATGTTTTCCAGCATGAGGTAACTGCACGGAAAATGTGATTTTCCCCGAACCATCCACTGCTTTTTGAAGGAGACCGCAAATTGCTGACAGCCTCTTTTGTTTGGTGGATTGCAGCCACTTTGACTGGGAACACATACTGTATTTACCTTGAGATCACTTTTCTGACATAGCTTATTAAACACAGCCCGTAGTATTCCATATATAACTTACACCCTCGTCTACCAATGGCACGGCATCAAAATTCATTTTCTATCCTGTTCGAGGTCACTGGTGAGCTCGAGCCAGTGAATCGCAGGGCACATATAGTCAACTATTCACACTCATACTTATGACGATTTACAGTCTTCAATTAACCTAACATGCATGTTTTGGGAAAGTGGGGTAAAGCCAGAGTTAATTACACACACGGGAGGGCCTGAGTCGAGAACCTCATGACTGTGAGGCAGACGCGCTAGCCACTTGCACCACCATACTGCCCAAAACCTACAACTGTCCTATAAAATGAAAACACAATCCGAAACTTTCTGCACAACGGCATTATTCCGCTTGTAAATTCAAAAAAGCTGAGCACTGTCATTGGAGCATCAGTAGAATTCTACCAGTGTTTACAAATGCAATTTTTTAGTCAAATCACAGCATTGCTTTCAAATAAGGTGCCATTGGACTTGGATGCATAATAACGGTTTTCAAACAGCACAATCTAAAAACAAAAAAAGTTTTAAGCCCAAGTATTTAGAGGCAATAGGTCTTAAAAAAGTTTTCAATAGAGGAACAAAATAGTGAAGAGGAGCACCCTCATGCAAGCACAACATTCTATTCAACAGGTGGCAAAAACAAAAACAAAAAGCTCCAAGTAGTCATGTGGTGTAAACTGCGGCTGAAGTGAAAACATTCAGGCCCTTGTTGCATCAGACATGTTTAGTAGTAGCACTCTTAAAATACTCGCAAGTTCGCAATATTGGGCTTTCATTGCCAATTTTAGGATTCATCAAAAAATGCACTTTAACCTTTATAGGTGAACTTCATTTGAACTTCTCTAAGCTTTAATCGACATGTCCATCTCGCCAATGTTTATGTACTTTATACTGTTTTCTAACAAACAGCTCAATAGAACAAATGTTGTGAATGTTGCCATTCAGCGCCTTGCTTGGCCTGCCACACACCGAGTGACACTGCCAGAGGCGACTGAGGTAGACGATTGGCCAAAAATTAGTTGGTGAGTCTCAACTCATACATTTGGTGACAGAGACTCTCTGCGCTTTGCTTTCGAGTCATAACTATATAATGAAATTATGAATATGTTGTTGATGGGGAACTCAAGGAAAGTTTTGTGCCTCCTCTAGGCCAAACACGATATTCTGATTAGTACTACGTTTGTGAAATAAGAATTAAGCGGAGTAATTCATCCAGTCATCAATATCAGGGCAGACATTTTGTCTTTTCTGCTGTCGACCTACATTGAAATCAAAGGACCCTTAGGCTTGCATTGTGAACGTCACAGCTCGCCTGTTTTTTGACACGTGACGTTCAGTCAGTTTCTCGTCGCTGTGAAGCCCCGGTGGGCCTTAGAGAACAGTGCGTTGCGCAAACAGGACTGAAATATTGAACAATTGGACAAGCACGTTCAAAAGTTGAGAGAAGGTCAAATTAAGTTCACCTGTAAATGTGAAAGGGCATTTTAGGGCCATCCTGAAATATCAGCCGAAAGCCTAATATCCAAATATTAGTTCTTATTTCTCTGCAGAGCCTCACACATGTTGTGATTGGGATCGGGCTCTTTATTCATGATCTCAACACACTCCCACTCTCCACTAAAGCTGGACCGCTTCACGGCCTCCACTACTGTCTGTACGTACAGGCCGTCTTCAAAGGTGGGTGCCATGGCAACCGGGCCACGCGCCCACAACCTGCGCTCCTGGTGTGCCTGGAAGGACTGTCTCAGGGCCTTGACCATGGCGCCCAGCCCCAGCAGGTGCGGCAAAGGTATGTCTTTCACATCAGGTCCAGCCCAGCTGCCGTCGCCAAGCAATAGCTCCTCACGTTTACTGCCGTTGCGCTGACCGTACAGTTCTGTCCCTCTGGCCACCAATCTCCCCGTGGATCCAACGACCATCACCTCATGCAAAAAGGAACCCGGCATGTTGAAGTTCAGGGTCACCGTGCAGCACACGCCGCCCGAGCACGGCCCCATCAACATTTGGAAGAAACAAAAGTCGTCACTGGTGACTCGTCGGATGCCTCTGATGGTGTCATTTTGCTGTACGAAGGTGCGCAGCAAGCCGTGAACACGCTGGGCCCGTGTCCCAGTCAGGTAACTTAAAAGGTCGATGATGGCCGAGCCCACCGTGTGCAGGCCCCCGCCTCCCATCAAGTCCTCACAAGTCCAGCCGTATGACTGGTCCAGAAGGCTGGGCCCGTACACGCGCACGTCACATACTTGCACTTCACCTACGTATCCCTCCATCAGCAGCTGCCGCATCGCCGCAAAAGTGGGAAGGAAACGCAGTGTGTTACCCATGATGCTGAGCAGCTGGGGGTAATACCTGGCTGCATTTACCATCTGGAAAGAATCCACAGCAGTCGCAGCTTTCTCACTGACAACGTTCTTACCTATGCCTGCAGAGAGACAAAAGGCAAAGTGTATTCTTATTATGATTATTCAGATAATAACCCAACGCATGTGGATAAATCACAATTTACCGGGAAGGCGGTGTGAAAGCAGAGTTTTTCCATCAAGTATGAATCGATCAAGGCTCGACTCTCAGCTTTTAGACAGTGAGAGTAACATTCATCAGGTACGAAATGAATTAGCCAAATGTTCAACTTCCTGCAACAAGAGATGTGGTGCAGAGATAATCAAATACACAGACAAGAAGGCTTCCGAGCATAGGACCTCCACGCTGGGTGGGACACACTCGGCCAGGATGTTGCAACTATAAGAGGAAGCCGAGGTCAATGCTCAGGAATTCCATTAGATAACTAGATACAGTAGCTCTATTCCGTATTGAGCATGCTGGTCATCTGGCCATCTTGAGTATAGCTTTCCTTTTGTTTGTCTTATTTAAATCTATTACGAGTCAATGCGGTGGCATAGTTGATGGGTGAGGGATCGATTCCACTCATCTACATACAACACCTTTGATTAATAGCCTGATCAAACGCGACCAGCATGGCACAAGTTTGTTTGTCACAAAATAATTCACACTTCCATTTGAAGGGAAGTCATATAAATGTGACACATTTGCAAACCTTTGAGATGCCATTCAGCAAGTTGGCTGACCACATCGTATGTTATAACAGGCTTTGGGGACTTACTTGTAATGTATTTCGGTTTTGAGGTTGCCTCACTGTTTGCTGTGGAAGCAAAATGCTTCCACATCTTACTCTGCACCTCTTTTACCTTAGCAGGCTTTGGGAAAGCTTGAAGTCCGAACTCATGTCCTGGGGAGGGATGCTCTTTGGGAGACGCCGCTCACGACAGAGAGCGCTGTGATTGGCTGTAGACATGCTGATGCTTTGTCACTGTCATTCTTAAATTACCGGTACTACAAAAAACCCTGAGGCATTACATTGTTTAACATAAAACTAAGCCACTGCTCTTTTATTTGGAAAGATTTTTTGACCCCTGGATTATTTTGCTGCATTGTGATCTTTGAAAGTGAATACAATTGAAGAAAATCCCATCTTTTTCAACCAAACGATCATATGAAAATTATGTGATTGGCCCTGATTTCCTGTCGCGTGAGTGGATCGCAACAACTCGAATTACAACACTTCAACTGCAGCTGCCATGCTACCGTTCAGAAGTATCTCATGTGTGTTTCTGATCTCTTACCCAGTGCTTTGACAGCAATCTGCCGTGTCATTGAGGGTGGAATATAGATGCAAACAAGGTCAACGTCTTGGTGTAGCAGGACGTCATCAGATCGACTTGTGTGAAACGGGATACTGAGCTCTTTTGCCAGGGTGCACGCTTCCTCTTCGCTCCTCCCCCAGAGCGCATGGACATCAAAGCCTTCCGCTTTCAGCATCGGGACGAGCACCCGAGCTGTGCTTCCTGTCCCAAACACACCGACTCCTGGCAGCATGACGGCACAGCTTGCTGCAGCCTTACGTCAAAATCATGGCGGTGCAAACATACATCGTGATTGTAAAGTCACCAATGTGCCAGTATCCTCTGTGGTCCCTGGAAGTGAGACCTTCCCCCTGAAAGAAAAAAAAAAATCACAAAAAGGCAACTGAAATGTAAATACTTTAGTAGAGAGCCCCGTTTCTGCTTACAGTCCTTTCTCACCAGCTTGAAGGACAAGTGAGAGGAAACAAGTTTTTTTTCTAATAGCTTTATTTTATTTTTGGGGGAGGGGTCGGGGTCGGTTTTACCCTCCAATATCCACTTAATGAATACTTATTAGCATTTTTGGGAGAATTTTCCAGGTTGAATCGTTATTTTATCACAATGCATTTCAATGTGTGCCAATTATATGTGGATTTTGCCTATATTTGGGCTCGGACGGTCCCAATCAAATCACAGGGTTCAACTATAAAGTAAACAAATAAGTTGTTCAATTAAATAGATTGGGAAGTTTCTTCCACATTCTGATCAGATCGCTGATCATTTATGGGGGATTTTTCCCCAACTTGCTGATCTGGGGCAAAATCCTGATTTTGTAAAGCCTGGTGCAAAGTGCATCAGGCATATTTATTTGATAAGATAAATGTAAATTCCGTTTCTCTTGAGGCCGTTTCAGGGCCAATTTTCATGGCTCAGGTCAATTTTGTCAACTGTGGAGCCAGCACTTGGAATGTGGCAGGAGCACCTGACAACAACGTTATGCCTTGCGGGAGGCTTAGCTGAAACCTCCCTAAACCTTTCGCATTAACTACTCACTCTTGGTTGTGTTCTGAGGAGGGGGGAAAACAGGGTTCATCTTAAACTTGCACAATATAAATTTAAGCTAGCTATGTTTGTTTTGCTACCTACCATATACTAGCATAGTGGGCACCAGACGCCCTCTTGTTCACGAATAACTACAAGTGAACGTGGCAGTGTATTTTAATAATTAACATGACAAGGCGGACCTCATACACAGACGAGTCAGTGAGCATTGTGATAAGGTTTGCTAGCACGTTTACCAGCTAACAAGCTAGCCGCGACAAAAACATTTCAAACAGAGTACGAGCAAAGTTACGACTGAACTCTTAAAAAATATAGCCCCTTGACATATGTTAATTTATGTAAATATCCACACGTAACTTTTGCTACCTACTGTTTTTATGCAGCCGAGTTCCCCAACAACGGCAGCAAGTGCTCAGCCGGGCGCTGCCCTGTTGCTAATGGTAACTTCAGCATAGACCATGGAAGTGAATTCTCAACCAGAGATGTTGAAAAAGTGAAGATGCTTGCAAAGAAGGAACCCCTTCGAGCAAGACTACAAATCATTATCTTCCTCATAATCGTTTATATTCAAGATGTATATTATTAACACGTTTATTAAATTAATGATCGAAAATGATTAATGGTAGAAAATCAATATGTGTTCTAAGTATCCAAGTGAGGTTTGTTCACAGGGCGTTGACGTCGTTGTGTCACTCGGGATAGTTCCCCGGAAGTACCAATAACAAGCGATTTCAAACGTTGATTTAAAAACAGAACCAATGTTGTAAAATCATTTTAATTCTAGGTTAAGTTGTAATAAAGACGTTTAGATAGATACAATTATCATTTAATGAGTACGATTGAAAAACGCATGTAATAGCACAAAATGACCAGCGGTGGCAATAACTTTTTTGTCAGCCGTGGTCATGAAACGCAAAGCATTATGGGATTTTTAGTCCTAAATGCCGGGCTGCCGTGTTGACATCGTACAAAAGAAAAATAACTAAGCGTTTTCTTTTTTGTACAAAACATAGGCTTCGAATATACTACACCTGTAGGTTTTATTTGCGCTTATTCCAGATAAAATCGCACAGAGTTAAGATCTGGTATAGCAAAATTTTCACCACGTTCGCTGTAAAACAAACAGGAAGTGGTTAGCGTTGTGGGACGTGTAGTTCCGGCTACAGGCCGCTGAAGAAGATACCGCGCACAATAAAGAAAGTGCAATAAAAGCGTCGCAATTAGCCGTGCGGATTGACTTTGAGGGCTATAGGCGTCTGTGTTATCATGCCTGGATTCACGTGCTGTGTCCCCGGCTGCTACAGCAATTCGCATCGCGACCGGGACTTGCGCTTCTACACGTTTCCGAAGGACACTACACTCCGAGAGCTGTGGCTGAGGAACATCTCCCGGGCCGGGGTCAGCGGCTGTTTCAGCACCTTCCAGCCCACCACGGGGCACCGGGTTTGCAGTGTGCACTTTGTGGGCGGAAGGAAAACCTACAGTATCCGAGTGCCGTCGCTTTTCCCCCTGAGGGGTGTGAACGAGCGCAGGAGTCGGCGGGGCAGAGGTAAGAAGTTGTCCACGACGGCGGCTGCAGCCCCCGCCGGAGCCACCACCGGGGTCGTCATCAACACCGTGCTGGGGAACACGGCCGAGGGCGCCGAGGCCAACGCCGGGGGCGAGGCCATCGACGACAGCATCACGGTGGTGCAGATCGGCCAAAACGGAGAATATCTGGGTACGGCACGGCTGCCCGTGGCGGCGGAGGCGCCTTTCACCGCGCCTATCGGCGCGTCCACCGAACTCAGCGCCGTTACCGTCGCCGCGGACTCCTCCTGCTCGGCGGAGGCGAAGCAGACGGTCGTGCAGTACGTCAGCGTGACCAGCAGCCCGCTGGACCACTCGTACTCGCTGACCACCGGCACCACGTCGGCTGAGCTGCTGCGCAAACTCAACGAGCAGCGGGACATCATCGCCCTCATGGAGGTGAAGATGAAGGAGATGAAGGCCACCATCCGCCAGCTGCGGGTGATGGAGGCCAAGCTGCAGGAGGAGGTGCGGGAGCGGGACAGGCTGCTGGGCGGCCACCCGGTGCCTCTGAATGTCAACAAGAAAATCTAGCCGGAGACGAGGGAGTGCAGACGAACTGAGGGACATTCAGCCTTTGTACACAAATGTATTTTCAATAACCGCAGAGCTGATTTTCGTAGACCTGATCATGTATAAAGATGTTTAGCTGTGGTTGTATAACTGGTAGTGTCATATGGAAAGCTTTTTGAGCATGTTATTCAATTCACACTCAAAGGTCCATGTACTAGTACACACTTTGTCCTAACTTAGACAATTCAGCGCACTAGAACAACAGTTGTCTCACTTTTTGCCCCCTACTACTCGGACATTTCGGCACACTAACAGCAGAACTTTGGTTTATCAAGAGGACAACTACATATTACTGGTGAGGCAAAACTGCACTCGTTGACATGTGGGTGCTATACTACAACTACTAGTGAAGTGCTAAATGTTAACTAATTTCACAATGTCACATATCAAGGATTGATCCTAGATTATCCAGTATAGGTTATCAGTGTACTCGTATGCTTTTTGTCCTCGCAAGTAAGACAATTGAATACACTAGTAGAACGATTCTGTTTCTTAATTTTATTTATTTAGTGCTTTCACAACAGCTGCAGCTGTTGCAGAACACATGATAAAACATTAACAATGATACAAACACAAACCAATGAAATGTTTTCCTTTTTGTCATGTTTTCCTTCACTGCCTTTCACTACTATATGACATTTTTGCACACCAGTAGAACAACTACTTGTTGTTAGTGAGGCAGCTAGGCACTTGTTGAAATCGGTGTGCCGCTCATACTACAGCTGAAGTGCAAGATGTTAAATAGTACAATTTTATAAAGTCAATAGTAGTGAGTAGTACTTGGCCTGCTTTCCATAAAGCATTTTGATGAATAATTATTCGATATCCTGATGCTCAGCTAGAAGACCAGGTACAATTCAGTGCACTAGAAGAATGACTACGGAGTGCTAGTAGCTCTCAATTGTCAACAAGTGCACAGTTTTGTCTCACTTATATATGTGGTTGTCCTCATGCAAACGTTCTCCAACTTATGAGGACTAAGGACTAAGAAAATTCAGCACACCTGTAGAATGGCTGTTTTACTTGCAGTGTTTTTTTTTTTCAGCACCACCATCTTTGTTGATTACTGTTTGACATGTCTGCACACCAATTACTACCCAGCTTTGCAACAACATTTTACTAGTGAGCATTTTGATGCTGCTAGTAAGTTCCAGGAGGCGACTACTGCATGACCTATTTGGGCCGAGTACTGTTACTAGTTCAGCACAATAGTTTAATTGTAAGGTTTAGTTGCAACATTGTAGTTCTAGTGCGCGGAATTGGCTTACTAGTACACGGAATTTATGATGGATTTGAAGAATATCAAGTAAATGCTTAGATGACATTCTATAGTGTCATCTCTAACAGTTGTTTGATCCACTTTACAGTCATAGTTTGCATAGCCTTACAAGATAGATGACTTTAAATATGAGAGTTGGGAAGGAATATTTTTAGTCCAGGATGTTCATTATTCTTGAGTGGATAGAAATTAGAAGTGTTTGGTGACAGATTACCGTGCTGAGAAATAGATTTGGCTATATGCCTATGGAGGCATTTATGCAGGCTTTTTCAATTTTTTTTTCAGCTCAATACCCAGATTTGAAATTTGAAAACCTCTCGGTACTACTACATGACATTTTTTATTGCCATTATGTTGACCCATTGGACTGTACATAATGTAATACAAAAGAACCGACATTAATGTATTACAACAAACTTTGTGTGCCTGATCAATAAAATATTTTACAGCATTTAATAATAATTAAAAATAAACTTTGACCCTTCTTCAAAGCAATGAATCCATATCAAACTTCAATGTCATCTTGTTTTTTAATTTTATTTCTGAATATATAAAACAAACAAACAAAAAAAAAAAACTGCTTGAACACATGGCTATTTTGTTCACTTCCTGCCCATTACGGATGTCAAGACTACAGCGCATTTAAGTCGCAACATGTTAACTTTCTGCTTTCGTCTTTCATAAGCGCATGTTTTTGTGCAGTTGATGGATTGAACGTCCCTGTTTATGATGAGGTGTTTCTCGACTCACAATTTGATTTGTGGCTGCCTCACAAGTGCTCTATGCACAATATGTTACAGACATTTCTGATCCTTGGACTGATATAAGTGTCATTAAATGACATTTTGAAGTATATCTGTTTAACTTATTTTGGCTCTTCCAGAAGGTATCAAGACACAACCTACGGATTAACTGCTTTTGGTAATTGCACATTTATAGTCCCATTGGCTTTATAAGTAAGGAAGAACCTGTATTAGTAATCCTTTCTTCAGCATGCAGAGTAAATGATTTAAGCATCCTTTTGAGGTACCAGCCGTCATTCGGCTGATTTTATGGTTTGACCTCAGAGCAAAAATTATTGCTTTCAGCACCATACAGTGGATGTGAACTTAACTCTCTTGACAACGAGAAAAGAAATCTTGAAAAATTAGATTTCAAATTGTTTAATGCCCCTCGCGTTTTAAATTTACTTTCAAACTACACATGAAACAAAGAGAATTACATGTTGTGTATTTAAAATAAGCAACAAATACATGCTAACAGTTAGCATTGATCGTTGCGGTTTTACGTACACCGGTAGAAGAAGCACAATGGTTTAATCAACAGAAGAGTCTTTAGTGGCCAAGGATGTACTGTAAATCACACAAGGAATTTGTCTCCAGTACTATGAGTTACACTAGTATTGTAGCAACAAGCAACTACGACAAAGATATGACACATACAGTAAGTATAAAGAGTTTTCACGTAATCTTGGGGCCCTATTTGTGCTGTAGTACCAGTGCCACCCAATGACAGCTGTGCAAACAATGCAAGGAGTCATCAAGCAAAGATTAAGTGTAAACTTGATCAACGACAATTCTACAAGTATGTAGAGAGCTGAAACTACAATGACCAGCCCGGTAATACTGTCACACAGGTATGTTCAAAATTGTCAAGCATTTGCAAAGTGCCACTATGAAATTTAAGACAACTTGTTCAGTTGATGGCAAGAGGGAAAAAGCTGTTTGCATATCTGCTAGTTTTGGTGTGTGTGAGTCGATAGTGTCATGACAATAACAACAAAGTAATGATGATGATGTCAAGGGTAAGGTTGAATGCACGGGCGGTGAGTATTCCACAGAGTGAGGTCCCAGACTCTAATCTCATCTGGATTTTTTTTTTCTGATTCTGTGTTACATAATGCTTTAATCCAGGCCTGTCAATCAAACTTACCCAACTAGCTTCCTTTTCAAAAGCTGCCATTATTACAACACAAACCTTTTACATCCAGGCCAAGGACCAGCTCCTTCACAATTTTTTATTGGAAAAACCTGTAGTTACAGTACAGTATATTATTTATCCTCTGTGAAGAACAACTAATATTACTGCGGAGGAGTTTTGCCTGGATCCACGTGTCTCCATATATCTGTATTGTACTGCTTTGCTGTGTCCAGAAGTAACTGCACAATGTTCATTGAATTGAAGCAGAAAATGCGGCAACAACTGTTTAATTATTTTTTAAAGAAACTTATTTAATTATGGCATTATTATATGTTCTTGTAGAGTACAATATTATAGAGTGCAAAAAAGCACATTGCAATTTTGGGGGCATGAAGGCGTTTTAAATAAAACAGTTTGAGAAATGAACGTGCTCACAGAATGAAGTAAGCTCTTATCTCAAGGCCCCATTGCAATTTTGAAGTTTCCACTTTGTTGAGGTATACATTTTGTTTAAATCTGAATGGATTGCATAGTCGCACCAAATATTGTGGCTGATGAGTGTAAAAGTTCTTTTCCATACCTTTTTGTTGAAGTTTGAACTTTCACATATAAATATCGGTACATGCTTATGATTGTGATTTTATATGGAAGCAGAAAAAAACCAATTAAAAAAAGCCTAAAGTAAGATTAGCTCAAATTCCTGAGAACGTTAGTGATCCAACACAGCGATATACTTCATAAATGTGTCTTAAGCACATGTTCAAATTGACAATGTGAAAATGTGTCTGCCAAACTAACAGCTGCCGCTAAAGTAGCTTCCATGACGATGTATTGATTTAGGCCAGCAGCGTCAGACACAGACAGATTAGTCTTCAGTTAATGGTTGTATTAAACCGCAGATTAACAATGGGCTCCCATTTCTCCTCTGTCAGTGTACAGATGTGAACCAGGATTTACACTAATGCACAGTGTGAGCCATCTGTAGATGGGTGTAGCACATGATTTGGAGGCCAAGAAGTATAGAGGAAGAGGATGTCAAGCCCAGGTAAAGGCGATGCATCATTAGGACCCTGTTAAGTGAATTCAGAGTCTTGGTTTTAAACATATGACACATGTTTGAAGACAATTGCTGAAAATGTACTGTAGTACTCAGCTGTAGAGATAACGCATTTCTCCATTTTCCTGATTTTTGTGGGCTGTGGCCAAAAACGGGGCCCTAGTGATGCACTTAGCATAAGTCACCCATCTCCCACTATCTTTCCTTCGGATAGTGCGTTGGTGTGGCGGCGTAAGAGCGCCTCGTTGTCAGCCATAAGTGTGCCCTAGTCACGCAGAGAATGACAAAAGAGCAGGAGGGGGTGGGGGCTTTAGAGCGCCTCGTTGTTGTAGTGTGGGATGTCCAGTATTCCATCCACTGGATGTATTGAGGTGGTATTGTATATTGACATGGCTCAAACATGTCATTATGGGTAGGCATAGTAATGAAGCAATCATTTTCCAGGTCATAGTAATATTATTTGATTGGCAGTTGACAGCGGGACATGGTTTCAACATTTTCAGTGGACATGACCACGGCGTTTGGTCAAGCTTGATTTCTAACGATTTTGAAGTCTTATTTGAAATCAATTTCACTGCTCACGAGCAAATTTGATTCAGAGATTGCTTTACGTGTCCCAAAACGTATTTTTGAAGCTGATTTAAAAATGTCTTTACCTTTGTCTTAAATATCATATGATTGGTTGGGCAGATTTGTAATCATCCCCCCCCCCAAAAAAAAATTATTTAGAAACATTTACTTGCATCACTGGTTAAAAACAATTGTAAATATTTGTTAACCAGAACATTTAAAATCACTGGCAAGGTATTTTAACAACTCTCTTCTCTGTAGAACGTCAAATGTAAAAGATATATTTAATATCACTTTACAGAGACATCAGCGTAGAGTGTCTTTTTTTCCCTCTTCAAATAACTTATGATCAACACATGCATGACGCCCACTGGATTGGTACTATACTCTCAAAGGGTGCTGTGCTGCCACATCCTCTCATCTGCATTGGGACACCATCTGTTCACATGAAAAAAAAACGCACTCATAATCATGTTTCTGTTTTACATCTCCCATGTCACACTTGTGAAAGAAGGATTCTGCTCCAGGTCAGTGTTTGTTGGACATTTTATTATAGTTTCTCACTATATGTATTTGTGTGTGTCTGTGTGTGTGTGTGTGTGTGTGTGTG